TTAACATATAAATACGACTTACGAGTTGTACAAAAGTCAGATTGAAGCATTCGATGAGCTGAAGTACTGCATGCGTCGCAATGCCCCATCGATTCTTCAGCAGCTCGACGTTTTTCGTTTTCAAACACACGTAGAAAACTAGCAGATTAGCAGTGGTACCAAGAATGAATGTTGCCCAATTATTGGCAACAAGCGTTACTTCTAATATTAGCAACATAACAGTTACTGTTGATCAAGTAGCATTTCGCGTTCACTTCACCTGCATAATTACGAAAGAACACTTTTTGATAATTTGTTAGGTGGGAATTTTTTGACAGTAGCTTTCTAATCGCATAATTATTAAATGCTAAGAGATTTATCAGACTGTCGGTTTGCGTCTCCTATTTATGCGTTTTTTGCAGCTATGCAATGCAAAAACGCATATTGACGAGGGGTTGTCTGTGTGTCCGTGTGTCTGCGTGTGCGTCTATCAAGCACTTTCATCTCAAGACCTACAAAAGCTACAGGGCTGAAATATCGGGAACTTAATCTACATGCAAGTTCCGGCCCCAATCCCCAAAGTGGGTGCCATCACCCGCGTGGTGCCCGCGTACGGGCCCGCCAAGATTTTTTTGGAGTAAGTTCATAATTCGGGGATCTGAGAAGCTAGAACGCTGAAATCTTAAGGGGATGTTCTCTACCCAGGTGGGTATTAACGGGTTCAAACCCTGCCCGTGGGTAAGCGTGGTACCTACGTACGGGCCCGTGAAAGTTTCTTCCGGACAAGTTGTTAACTCGAGAATGTGAGAAGCTGGAAGACTGGAATTTTGAAGGGATGTTTCCTGATAGTTCTGGCGGCCAGTCTTAGTTTGTTTAGCTAGAAGCATTTGCCGGAAAAACCGGTACCGTTAGTGACAAAAATCTGCGGGGAGCTACGCAAAAAACGCATCTTCGCACAGGCAACCCGTGCGTTGGCCAATTATTTAGTGATGCTGCGCCTCCTGGAGCAGTCGTACATGTCGGACAGTCTGCTTCGTTGTCTTTCCTTCTTATGAAAGTTTCACGATAAAGTGAACTTTTACAAAAATTAAAATGATTAAAAATAGAACGTGAAAGTTTCATCTTAATTGCTTGAGAAGCGCATACGTCAATGAACACCCACCACTGCTTTGATATTTCTCGTGGACTTCGGATCCGAATTGCGAAATGAGATGAAATATTCTAAGACAGGGGCCATTCTTAATTCTCATACGACAGACGGCTAATCGCGCCGGAAAACAGCCTAGATGTCACATTTAAACGAATTGGGGATTCCGCGTGAAAATATTGTTTACAGAAAGCGCCAGCCAGAGTTGCACCATTTCAGTTTTTGTTTGGTACCTCGAAAGTAGTGAGAAAAATCAAAAGCAAATTCTAACTGCTAAATCCGGAAGTGCCACGATCTGGACTGTAATACGTACAAAAGATGGCTAAAAGAACTGAAACGAAGCAGCTGAATCTTTTGTGTTTTGCAAATTTGGTTCTCATTGTTAATAGTGTAAAGTACATTTAAAACGAACAAAGTGTGGCAAAAACTCGCGGAATGCAAGCTTGGGACTTAAAGCCACTGTGCTAAAAATAGAGGTTAAGCGGAATAACAGGACGCTAAAAGTAGCGTAATTGTTAGTGCAGAAGATACGTAAGGAAGGAACGGATAGGTTATCTAAATTAAGAAATAAGTTAATTTCGCAATCTTGAGATTTTCAGCGGCTGAATTGCAAATTTCACAGCATTGTGAATGCAAATTGGAAACGGGAATGAGGGAAGGAAGGGAATTTGTGGCTTAGATCTGTTTTTTTCATAACCGAATTTTGCAAAGCATCTGATATGCAACGTGGTTGGTGACAAAGGAATATGTATGTAGGTGTTGATGGTGGTGGGTGTGATGAAGATGAATGAAGGCTTGCTTGATACACCTCACTGGGATTGTTTCAGGATTATTGCATCCACCCCCCAGAAGAGTGCAGCGAAGAATAATATCGGCTTGTCTGCAAAGGAAATATTACTAATTTAGCGATGATGCACTTTGTTTGTTGCTGTGAAACAAAGACGAGGCATTTATAGCCACTGATCGCAAGCAGTACAGCGATGTCTGATGATTTACTCCAAATATCTTGGTTTTTTTGCGAACACTAGAAAATGGCACTGTGGTAAGGCCAAGTCCCGAAAAGTATGCTTTTCTGCTTTTCCGGAAAATCGAAGTGCGCAATTTACAAAAGCTAAAAGAGAGAAATTTTGCAAGCATGTTTTGCAAATTTTGCAAGCACCGCAACAGATCTATCTTCGACGCATACGATAAAAATCTTGATTATCCTTCACTGTTAACTACTACAACGACCCAAATAGTGATGTTGAATATACTCTTCACGTAAGTATCTTAATCTCTCAAATGCTAAGATGTGCTTGCATCTGTACCTATTTGGATCGATTTGTTTGGTGGTCTCGCCGCTTATTGAAAAATTACCTCTGACGGGACTATGACATCTCGAAATTAAATGTTATTGTCCACAGATTTGCGGAAAGTCTTGAGTAAATATACTGTGATAACTCTGGCGTTGCACACGTTTGTTCCTTACTGTTAAACTTACAAAACTTCGTCTAATTTCTTTTGCCCCGTATTTCAGAATGACGTCCCAACCAGAATCACCAATGAAGCGCGCGAAGTCCAACAATCAAATCACATACGTTAGACCTTTATTTACGCTTGTTTTTTACAAAATATTTCTCTTCTTCAAACAATCCCTACCTTTCTCTCTTCCTGTCGAAAATTCCCTATCTTTGTCATCACCTATTTCTTCCACTCCTTCTTTCTTTTCAGCCTCAACTCCCTTGCTACTTCGTTATTAACTCTTTTACACAGTGGTTTGGAGGCTGCACTGAAGAATCCCGCCTCATTCTACACCGAATACCGTTGTGTTTGCAGCTTAGGGATGAAACACAAACAGCAAATCTACATTAAGCCTTCACACATGTCCATAGTACATTTCCTAAATCTTTTCACAAAATATGCTGTTTTACTGTCGTGCTTCACTCCTTGCTTTCTCTTTTTCGTAGCCTCCCCAGTGTCCATTAATCCTCTCCATACTGACGGATTCAGCACCACCACTTTGGCCCTTCTGTACCTCCAGTATTTCGGACATAACTATACCCCACTCTTCCGTCCTTTCCCTTTTATTATCTTACATATTTCTTGTCATTCCTTCCATACCATTTTACTCAATTACGTTCTACTTCATTTCGTAATCACGTGTAGGCTTATAAATGTAGAAAACCCAGGCTGGAACGTCCAGGCGGGCCGGAGCGACTATGCGTTTTTGCACTTTCGTACCGTAGCAAGATCGCAAGGAGTCAGTTTAGCTAATCCTGTAAAATACTGGCCCTCGGAGTTCGGAAGTAAATTGTGCAGCTATGTGGTATGTCAGTTGTAG